TCCACCCCCGGGTCCCCCCGCCGGCCCGCCGCGCGCTCGCGCCTCCCAATTCCCGGAGCCGAGGCGGGGGCTCGAGGTGGCGGCGGCGGCGGCGGCGGCGACAGCTCGGCTCCGGCTGGGCTGCTGGGCGCGGGGCCAGGGCGGGCCGGGAACGGCGGCACCCGCGGCGGCGGGCGGTGGATCGCGCAGAGGGCGGCGGCCTTGGCCCGCCGAACCATGGCGGCCCCGGAGCAGGCGCCGAGACGGAGCCGGGAGCGAGAGCGGGAGGAAGAGAGCGAGGACGAGAGTGACATCCTGGAGGAGAGCCCGTGTGGTCGCTGGCAGAAGCGGCGGGAGCAGGTGGGCACGGGCAGGGGATGGGGGTGACGCCACCGTCCCGGAGCCGGAGGGGTCCAGAGGCCGACGAGGGGCCGTGGGTGCGCAGAGAGAGAGAGCGCAGCTGCTGTAACCCCCTCCGCGGCTTCTCAGGTGGCCCGTGATTCGGCCAGTCCCTGGACCCCTTTGGCCCTGCGCCCACTCTGGTGAGAAGCTCCATTGCCTGAGGACCAGTCTTCTCCCAGGACCACCTCCCCATGCCTCTGGGATCAACCTCTATCCCTTTGGGGAACTCTCTCAATCCTTGGAAACCTGCTCCAGATCTCTTTAGCCCGGCCCCTGACTCCCTCCAGGCCCCCAGCACTCCCGCAGAGCTGGTCAGGGCCTGCAGCACATGCTTGGGCCCCCTGCAAGGGTGTAGGCGGGAACTAGCCCCCAACAAACCAAGGCACGCATAACCCCCTACCCAACCCCCAGGTGAACCAAGGAAACATGCCTGGCGTCCAAAGCACCTTCCTGGCCATGGACACGGAGGAAGGGGTAGAAGTGGTGTGGAACGAGCTCCACTTCGGAGACAGGAAGGCCTTTGCAGCACATGAGGTAAGGCTCGCTGCTTCCTCTTCAACCTACTCTCTGATCACCCAGTGACCACCCTCCCTCCCTAGGAGAAGATCCAGACTGTGTTTGAGCAGCTGGCACTGGTAGACCACCCCAACATCGTCAAGTTGCACAAGTACTGGCTGGATGCATCAGAAGCCTGTGCGCGGGTGAGCATGGACAAGACCATAGGGCATGCTGAGGCCACAGTCAGGTGGGGCCTCCACGGGGATCCATTACAGTAGGTGGAAACCCCGAGCCTGCACCCTGCAGGTCATCTTCATCACAGAGTATGTGTCATCGGGCAGCCTCAAGCAGTTTCTCAAAAAGACCAAGAAGAACCACAAGGCCATGAACGCCCGGGTATGGGGAGTGGGCTGGGACTGTGTGGGGACGGGGCTGGAACTGTGTGGGGACAGGATGGTGTTTTGGGGTGGTCTTGGGGACAGGGATGGTGCAGGGTCCCTGGGCAGCCTCGGGGCAGGGGCTGGGTGAGGGCGCTGGACGGGCTCCACAGGCCCAGCTGCCTCTCCTGCGCCCACCCGACGGAGTCGTGCGTCCGCCGCCAGGCCTGGAAGCGCTGGTGCACACAGATCCTGTCAGCGCTCAGGTGAGGGCCTGGGCTCACCGCTGCACCAGCTCTGCTGCTCTCCCACCTTTCCGGTGCCTCCTGACCCCTGACAGGACCTCACCTGCTCTCCCTTCCCCACACCTGCAGCTTTCTGCACGCCTGTAGCCCCCCCATCATCCATGGGAACCTGACCAGCGATACCATCTTCATCCAGCACAACGGCCTCATCAAGATCGGCTCTGGTGCTGGTGGGACGGGACTGGGTGGGCCGGGGAGTGGGGCTGGGCAGGAGTGACAGGGAGAAGGGATGCCACAGGTGAAATGGGGGTGAAGCAGCTAACCCCATTCTTTCTCCTTGCCATGGCCTGCGCAGTGTGGCACCGTATCTTCTCCAATGGTGCGTGGGGACTCTGAGGGATGGGGGTTCTGGAGAGGTCCTGTCCACTCAGCCCCTGTGCTCTTCCATAGCACTTCCAGATGATCTCCGAAGCCCCATACGCGCTGAGCGAGAGGAACTGCGGAACCTGCACTTCTTCCCACCAGAGTATGGTGGTGAGTCCGCAGTGAGTCTGGGAGAGGCCCTGCCACACCAGCCTGCCCTGCTCATCTGCCTTATCTGCCTTTCCCTGCTCTCCCCCTTTCAGAGGTGGCTGATGGGACTGCTGTGGACATCTTCTCCTTTGGGATGTGTGCACTAGAGGTACTGGCCCAACAGCCCCTTTGCCCCTCCCAGATGGGCTTCACCCTCATTTCACCTGTGGTATCCCTTCTCCACGTCTGACCTGGGCCTGCACCCCAGATGGCTGTGCTGGAGATCCAGTCCAACGGGGACACCCGGGTCACAGAGGAGGCCATTGCTCGTGCCAGGCACTCGCTGAATGACCCCAACATGCGGGTAAGTAGCTTGTCCCGCCCCTCCCAGGCTGGCTGAAGGTAGGGCCAGTGAGTTGCTCTGGATAGACCTGGAGGTGTATCAGGGTTAGGGCAGCTGAGGGGTGTGCCAGCTGGATGCACCCCCCACCCTCCAGCCTGCAAGGAGGACCTCAGTACAAGCACATGTTGGGTTCTAGGCGTGAAGTCAGCACATTCTAAGGACAAAGAGACCAGAGAGATATTCCATGTGTAGGCTTTATGACTATGCTCATTTTATAGATAAAGAAACTGAGCCTCAGAGGGCCTAAATATGTTGCCTAAGGCTTTAGAGTAAGTGAAGGAGCCAACATTTCCACTCAGGTCTGCTCAACTCCAAGTCCTTGCCTTTTAGCTTTCAGGAAGCGATGAGGCTGCAGCTTGTTGGGGGGACATGGTGGACTTGGGGCAGACAAAGGAGGTACAGGATGGAAGCTGTATCCATAACCTCCCTGCTTGGAGTCTGGCTGCTTAACTCCAGTGTCAGGAGATGGGGCTTCCTGGATGGGGCTGGTAGGGAGCTGGAGCTAGGGTGGGCATGAGGGGCAGGGGCTCGCGGATGTGGAGCAGGGGGTAACCCATCAAGGTCATCTCCAGAGTTGGGCCTGAGGTGGGGTGATCAAAAGAGGGCAGGCTGTGGGTCGGAGGGCTCTCACCTACTCCCCATGATTTTTGTGAGGGTTGAGGGAAGTAGAGCATAGATGTTCTAAGCCCAGGACCTAACTGTCCTCAAGCTTGGAGGACTAGGTTCTGTCCTGGCTGCTACTGAGATTCCTCCTCATATACATTCCTGCATGTTCTGTGTGTCCCTGAGGAAGGAAGATGTGGGGATTTCAGGGGCTTCCGCGCCTCACACTGTTGGCTAGAGCCAAGAGCCCCCATTTACCATCAGCTTGTTCTCCCCATGCCCCAGGAGTTCATCCTTTGCTGCCTGGCCCGGGACCCTGCCCGTCGGCCCTCTGCCCACAGCCTCCTCTTCCACCGCGTGCTCTTCGAGGTGCACTCACTGAAGCTGCTGGCAGCCCACTGCTTCATCCAGCACCAATGTAAGGAGGAGGCCGGCCCAGGGGTTAGCCTGCGGGGCTGGGGCCAGGATGTGGAAAAGGACCCTGTGGGACCCCAGGCTTGAGCCCACCACCCTGATGCTTCTGTGGCTGCAGACCTCATGCCTGAGAACGTGGTAGAGGAGAAAACCAAGGCCATGGACCTGCACGCAGTCTTGGCAGAGCTTCCCCGGCCCCACCGGCCCCCACTGCAGTGGCGGTGAGCAGCCAGCACCCAGGAGCCTCCCCTCTCAACTTCCCTGACCAGCCCCTCATGTGCCTCCCACCCCCTTGCTAGGTACTCTGAGGTCTCCTTCTTGGAGTTGGACAAATTCCTGGAGGATGTCAGGTGAGAATTAGCGTGAGGTTGGGGACCAGGCGGCTGTCAGACCTGAGCCCCCAGCCACCCCTGGTGTGTCCCCAGGAACGGGATCTACCCATTGATGAACTTTGCAGCTGCTCGGCCCCTGGGACTGCCCCGTGTGCTAGCCCCACCCCCTGAGGAGGCCCAAAAGGCCAAGACCCCAACACCAGAACCCTTTGACTCTGAGACCAGAAAGGTGAGTCCCCACTCCTATTGCTGTGTGCCATCCCTCAGACCTCCCACCAGTCAGATATTAGGTGTCCTTCTCTAAGGGCCTGAGTTTCTCCAGCCCAACTTTCCTCTAGGCTGCTGGAGACCAGATCCAGGCTGATCCTGGTAGGGGTTATAGGACAAATGTCTCCCTGCCACCTCAGACCCTTTCCCTAGCTCCTGCAGCCCAGCCCTGATCCCTCCATGCTCTACGCAGCCTTCCTTGGGAATTCCCACCAAACTCAGCCCTCTCATCCCAATCCCTTGGTTTGCTGAGTTCCTGACATTTGTTTCCCGGTCTTTCCCCAGAGGCCTCTCTTGGTTGGCCTCGCACTTCCCTCTGCATTTTCCTGCCCATACCCACTGGCTCCAGGCTCTGGCTTTGGCCTTGGGTATGTCCCCATGGCCTCTGCCCTGATCTCTCTGCCCTGATCTGGGCCACCCCATTCTTCACCCGTCTGGTCTTCCTCCTTTGGTTTCCTTTCATTTGCAGCCAGAATTCACGACCTAAAGCCAAAGCTGCCTGGCTCCTGGCTGCCCGCAGAGATCATGGGAATCCTCAGCCAAACCCCTAGCCTCTCGAAGGCCTGGTCCTGCAGGTGTCATGCACTTTTGTGCTGTTGCAGCCTGGCTGACCTCTCTTTTCCCTTGCTTCCCGCAATTCCTTCTTTGTTCAAGGTGTTCTCTTCATCTGTGACAGCTCCTATTCATCCTTCAGTACCCAGGTCCAATGTCAACTCTTTTTGAAGTTTTCCTTATTTGCCAGGCCACTAGCAGTGACATGTACTTTCTGGGTTCCTCTTAGAGATTTTTCCTGTTTCCAATCTCTGCTGTCCCTTCTGGTCTCCTCTGAGGCTGCATGTGCTCTTACTGCTTTGTTTCTAAGTTCTAGCCTTTGTGGGTGACCTTATTCCCTTCAGGTGATCCAGATGCAGTGTAACCTGGAGAGAAGTGAGGACAAGGCACGCTGGCATGTGAGCAGGGTTCTGTGCTGAGGCAGTCAAGGCATGGGCTGAGGGTTGGGGAAGGCAGTGGGGGGTGGGGCAGATGCCTGGCACTGCCTCCGCTGACCATGCCCTACTATTTCCCCAGCTTACTCTGCTTCTGGTGCTGGAGGACAGGCTACACCGGCAGCTGACCTATGACCTGCTCCCAAGTAGGCTGGGCAGGAGCCCAGGGTGGTGGGCAGAGACCCCAGGTGGCATGCAGTGGGTGGTATGATAGCCTCACACCTGACCCCATGCCCTTGCCGCAGCTGACAGTGCCCAGGACCTCGCCGCAGAGCTCGTGCACTATGGTTTCCTCCACGAGGTGTGCAGCGTGGGCATGGCCGGGCAGAGAGGGTGCATGGGGTGGGCTGTGCCCCTCCGTCCCCCCATGCCTCCTTCCTCCCTGCAGGACGACCGGACAAAGCTGGCCACCTTCCTGGAGAGCACCTTCCTGAAGTACCGAGGGGCCCAAGCCTGACCCCCCCATCAACCCCAGGGGACCAACCTGGCACAGCCAGGCTCAGGGTGGTCTCCTGGGGAAGAGCCCAGCATAGCATTGCCGAATTGCCCTCTACTTTGTACCTGGGAGCTGATGAACAGAGATCCTGCCAGTGAGGAACCTCCTGCCTCCTGCAGAGTGAGGCTGACCCTACCTTCAGGCAGAGGGCACCCTGGGGTGGGGCCTATCAGGGGGTGAGGGAGCCTGGGGTAGGGCTGGGGGGAGTGTTTAGGCCCCACATATTGTCCTTAATGTCAGGATTGCCCTGCCTACTCTGGCTTCCACAACTCAGCACCCTTTTCTTATCCTCCATTCTCCTAGCCATAAGTCCTTCCCCAGGCTGCCCAGCCAGGGCCACTGAGTCCCTGCAGGGAGCCACAGTGCAGGGGTAGGGGAGTGGGGGGGGTGGGGGACTGGGGGCCAGTCCTGGACAGACCTCTGCCCAGGGAATTACTCCATCTGGTCTGGGAGAGCATCGTGGTTGGCAGGCATGTAGACCCACATGAGGAGCCTGGACCTCAAGCCAGCGGTGGAGCACCTGCCGGTGTCAGGCGTGGCCCTGTAACCTATCAGGAGAAACAGACGGTAGAGGCCCTGGAGTTGATGCTGGCATCAGCCAAGCCCCTGGGCCCACACAGGCCAGCCCCAGAACCCCTTCTCTGGCCCTCCTTTTGCTCTGAGACCAGGACTTGTGGCCCCCTCTGCAGACACTCTTCTCGTCCCTGCAGCTCCTCCAATGGGTTGTTTTCTCTCCTGCATTCCCTGGCCTGGACGGGTCAGGAATCAGCATCCTGTCTGCTCCCCAAACTCTCATCCCTTTGATTTACCTCCTGCACCTCCTTACTGGGGTAGTTGCTTCCTGGGGTCCTGAGGATGTCAGCTTCTGCCTCCCTGTTTCCTTCCCACTCCACTCCTGTCTCAATCTTAGACATTTCAACACCTTGTGGATTCTGCCCCCACCTCTCTAGCTTCTTAGTTTTTGGACTGCCTCTCCTTCAATTTCAAATTTAAACAGTTTTAAACATTTAAAATTGTATGTATAAATTTAGTGCATTCAGGTTTCTCTTTAAGCATTTCAAATGTCAAACCAGGAAAGTTCACCACCATATGAATTCTGCCTATATTGCCGCTGTAAAATTTACCACAAACTTAGTGGCTTAAAGCAACACAAACTTATAATCCTGTAGGTTAGAAGTCTGATACAGATCTCACTAGACTAAAATCAAGGTTGGGAGGTTGTATTCCTTCCTGGAGGTTCTGGGGGAGAATCCATTTCCTGCTCATTCATATCCTTGCAGTGGTAGGGCCAAGGCCCCCATTTTCTTTGCTGGCTGTAAACTGAGGTTGGTTCCAACTTGTAGATGATGCCCACTTTCCTTGGCTCTTGGCCCCTTTTTCCATCTTCAAAGCCAGCAAGAACGGGCTGAGTCTGTGCCACAAAACAGCTCTCTGCAGCCAGGAAAGTCTCCTTAAGGATTCATGAGATTAGGTTGGGCCCTCCCTCTCTCAAGATTTTTAATATTAATCACACCTACAAAATACCTTTTGCCATGTAAACTAACATTCACTGGTTCTGGGAATTAAGGAATAGACCTCTTATGGGGGGTGGAGAGGGGGAGTGGCATTCTGCCTATCCTACCACCCTAACCAAAAGACAAAAAACAAGTTACTAAGGCATATCAAATAAATGTATACATATAGTGGATCTCAAGTTATCGTAAACATTCCAATGCTATTTACAAAATTATCCAGATTCCCACAGCTTTCAACTTAAAATTACAAATCTAAAATAATTTGCACATTATAGATAGAAATCTGATGCTAAGCTGTCTGATTATGCATGATTTTAAACAATTTGAGTGGCAAATACATTACAATGTACCAGTGATTAAACTGAACTTAAAAACATCAATAGTATCATTACTGCACTTAACCATGCCTATGTTGAGTTTTTCTTTTTTGAGTTTTATCTTTTCAGAGTTATATGCATATTGTTTTAAAAGTGGAATGGGTTTTTGGAGACTAATAATAAATGCAGTCTCCTACACTGGTACTCCCCGAATTCAACTCTCAGCTGTTTCTTCAGGCATCTGAAATCCATGTTTCACAAAATCATTAGCATACTTTTAGTCCTGTTTACTCGTTTTTCTACTTTAGAAGTCCCCAGCAGGCATCATCTAAGGGGAGGAGGAGGTCACCTTCCTTGATTTCCTTACCCAGCATTGTCCCAGTGTGATGAACATCATAGCTACATGGGTATTACAGCCTCATTACCACAGGTCTCAGCAGAGAACAAGGTGTCCTAGGATGATATTTTCTTTCTTGCACAATCTTTTGTTTTCCCTGGAGTTAATAATTGCCTACTTTTTGTTTGCTTAGTTTTCTATATGTCTGTCATTAATTTATCTTCAGATTTCTCACAGAAGTGTGAGCCTCCTCTTCTGAATACTTAGGATTCATAACAGACTGCTCAGCTTCTTCTTTTCCAGGAGCACCCACTATGCGAGACTTGTGCCCAGGCTGCTTGTTCTTTGACTTGTAGCTCAGCTATCACCTGAATTACCCCTTCACCAGCATCCTGGAGCACCTCTTCTCTCTTGTCTCTAGACCCCATGCTTTTCTCTTCTTTAATTTGCCCTGTTTGAGGAGAAACATCCTCCAGGTTTCCTGAGAGAGGATGCATGTGAAGTTATGGAATTTTTGCCTGTTTGTCCTTATTCTAACCTTACATATGTTTCAAAGCATGACTAGGTATAAAAACCCTGTCCCAGTTGAAGATTATTTCTTCCTGGGATTTTGAGGGTTTCATGTTCTTTTCTTTTAGTTCTAAGAACTCTCATGCCTTTCTGAATTCTGACCCTTTGCCTGTGATCTCTTATCTCTTGATTTTTTTCTTTGCCCCATTGCTTTGGAAATTCTTGATAATGTGTATTGATAGATAACTTCTCTTTCATTCATTGTCCAGAAAACCAAACCATTCGGTTCTAGGAAGTTTTATTAAATTATCTCTTTGTTGATTTTTCCCTTTTTCTTATATTCTGGACAACTTATTTAGATGTGAGACTTATCTTTTGAAAAGTGCAGTCATGGTCAAGGGCACAGGCTCTGGAGCCATTCTGCGGCTCCCTGCTGTGATATATTACACATCCTTATCTGTAAAGATGGGAATAATAACAGTACCCACTGCATAGCATAGGGTTGTTGTAAGGATCACATGAGGTAATGTGTGTGAAGTAAGAGCAGTGCCTGGTGTCAATTACTCTGAGTGCATATTATATGTATTGTCAAGGGGAAGCTGCCACCAGAGGGTGGTGCATGTGGCTCCCTCTGGTGGTGGTGGTGGCAGTAAGGCCCTAGCCCACCCCGGTCCACTTCACCCCATTCCCCATAGTGGAGGCCTCTGATGTGTCAGCCTGGTTCTAAGCACCAGAGAGCACTGACCCCTGTGATTACTATTATGTTTTCTGTTTCTAGCTATCTAGTTTTGTTGTTATACATTCAGTAAGGTTTCAACTTTATCTTTCAAGCCTATTGAATTGCTCATTTTCTTCTCTTTTTCAATTGTAAGAGCTCTTTCTCATTTCCTGAATGTTCTTTCTCTATAGCCTCCTGTTCTTATTTTTTGGGTACAACATGTCTAATATCTCTAAGGATATCGTTTTAGCTCTTTTATTTTTCTTCTGCTCCCTTTATTGTCTCTGTTCTTTCTGAGTCCTTTTTCTTTCTCCTCAGGTGTTTGTTGATCTTGGGCTCACCCCCTGATGGGTCCCACCCCAGGGTGCCCTCCACCCAGAGGCAGGGTCAGCCCCACTCTGCTTTTAAGAATGAGACACTCTTAGTGGCTGGGACTTATCGCCTGGTGAGCTTTGAAGTCAGGGGATCTGGCTAGGCACCTTCCTGCCCTCACTAGTCTCCTTTTGAGTTGGGAGCAGCTGTGGATAGGAGCCCTCCTCCCTGAAGGGCCTGGGTAGCACTCTCCAGGGCAGACAGCTGGGGTTGGGGGTTGGAGGAAAGGGCAGACATTTCATTTACTACCCCACTTTCCGACAGGGCTTTGTCCTTCAGCCAGGTCTCAGAGCTCCTTTCCTAGAGCTCACCTCCCAGCCACTGCTGTCCTAGAGGGTAGGTGTAGAGGTGTGGAGTCTTCTTTTTCCAGCTGCACTTTCACCCACTGACCTTCAGACACTGACCTCCACAGCCCAGTTGGCTAAAGCAGCTCTGCCTTCCTCCAACTCCACAATATTCCACCTCTTTGCCCCCTTAGGTTTTTACATTTATAGAACTCCTTTCCTAACATTTCAGAGGGGTTTCAGAATAGAGGAGAAGAAAATATTCTACCATATTTAACTAGACATGCCTATATTTAACTCTAACCTTTCCCAGGTTTGGAAAGAGAAGGTCCCGGGTAGATACAGAAGATACTTTTGCTGCCTCAGGCAGCTGAAGGTGCCTGAGCTTACAGATGTAGTTTCTTCCTCGCAGATCATTGAGCTGGGGTCTTGGGTGCAGCATTTGCCACATGTCCAGGGCAGCTCTTCCAATAGCACGGATGGGCATCCTGAGCCCCCAAAACTAACTCAGGCACTGAGGGGACCTGTGTCAGACTGTGTGTCTATCGACTGTATGTTTTCCAATCTACCACGCCATCAATTATCAGACGCACTAGTTTTATGAATCACTAAGAAGAAGGCAATGCTGCCAATTTAAATGAGGACTCCTAACTTCGGGAATGTCACGATGCAAAAACAGTGCATCTCAAAATTTGAATCTGAAATATGGCCGTCTTTTTGTCACCAGTAGTACCGAATAGTCTGGATAGACGGGATTTCTTCAAGTCGTGGAGGGGATCGCCGCTCGTTTTCCTGTCTCACTGGGGAGTGCCAGTGGACCACACCTGAGACAAGTTTTTCCGTAAAAGAGGCAGAGAAAAGGAGCAGCAACCAGACGTGGAGCCAAAGGAGCCGAGGGAGGCGCTCGTGTGCGCACGTCGTGGTGGCACGCGCCCCCGCCGTCCCCTGTCGCGCGCGCGCGCGTTCCCGCGGCTTTAGATCCGCCCCTTCCGGGGGCGTTAACTGTCCCTCCCCGCCCCGGAAGCGCGATCTTCTCTCCATCCTTGTCGAGGGCGAAAAAATCTTTTCTCGCGGGAGTTCCGCCGGTCGGGGCCCAGATCACGCGAGATCACGAGGGACCAGGGGTGTGTGGCGCGCGCGGCGGCCGCGACGGACGCAAGATGGCGACGGCGACTATAGCTCTCGTAAGTAAGCCCCCGTGGCCGCTAGTGGTCCTCGGCTGGCAGAAGCTGATTGTATGTCCGGCCCGGGCGCGGAGAGCTCCCCGGGGGCGCAGCGGTCTTACCGGGCGCCGCGCGGAGCCCGCCTGCGGCCCTGAGTTGCGCGAGGCGGAGTCGGGACGGGCACGCGCCGGCGGCCGGCCTGCGGCGGCAGCTTCCGGCCTATTGACTCCAGCTTCCGGCGGCCCTGACGGGGCGGGCCGGCCAGAGGCTGGGGTCCGGGAGTGCGACATGGGGGTCTTTTTGCAGGCCGCGGAGTGCCTGAGCCCGGCGGGGTTCGCATTCCACCCGGCCGGGTCCGGAGAGCTGGGCAACAGGCAAGGGTGGTTGTCCTCTCTCTGCCGACGGGGGTGTGCGCCGTGGTCCGGACGGAAGACTGGGGTCCTGGGAGTGATGTCATCTGCTCCCCGCGCTTGTCTGAGTGGGCCTCCGGGTTGGTGGCACCAGAAGGGGTCGGATCTTGTAGAAGGGAATCTGCGGCTTAGGGAGGATGGGCTGGCCTTGGCTCCCTGCGCCCGCAGCTGTGAATCCTTTCTCCGCCGGTGCTTTACAGGGAAGTGGCTCCCGCCATCCTGTTTTCTCTACTCTGGAAGAGTGTGTTTTGAGCAATCGGTTTGTCTCACCTCTACGGGAGGACTTTGGGGCTCAGTTAAGAAACCAGACTCAGCCTCTGCCGTGTTCGAAGGTCTAGTGCCCACCAGAACCTTGTTCCCATCCAGGGTACCATATGCTGGGTGGCGTGGGCACCCAGAAAAAGGAGCTTCTCCCTGCTCCGCTCAGGGCCCACCTCTTCGGGCAGGGCAAAGCAGGGCAATGGTGCACAGGGAGTTAACATAGAGGGAGAATCTCTATGCACACAACATATCTATGATGGAGTCTTTCATGTCTTCCTTCCTACTTAGCTTATGGGACTTACCCATAGTTTCTCTTTTTATTACTTGCCACCCTCTCTGTAACCCATACCCAGGGGGATAGGGTAAGGTCTGTTTGAGCAGGCAGCTTGGGCGGTTGGCTGGATAATGGAGTGATGGGTCCTGGGAGTGTACTTAGACTGCTATTGCCAGACCCTAAGTTGGGGGGCTGGACTCTGTCTCACTGGGAGAGGGAAAAAGAGAGACATTTGCACAAGATTCCTCTGCTTGTAAGGGGTAGCCCAGTGTGTTACTCTCACATCTGGCTAACTTCACTGTCCTTTTCCTTCCATGTCTGGCTTTCTCTTCAAGCTACATGAGTAAGTGACCTTTGTGAAGGGAATCCAGAGAGATGAGGGTTGAGGACTTGATAACTGTCCTCGGGTGTCAGCCAGAGGGTTGATGGTGAAGGAGAGGGAGGCTCAGAGACAAGGACAAGACACCTGCGAAGGTGGAAGAGGGTGGACGCTTCATCTCCCCAAGCATTCATAGAACAGCACCCTGTGCTTATGGGGATTGAGGTATAAATTGGGGCTCAGGTCTGCTGTGGTGTGGTGCCAGATGGTGTCGTTGAGGTGGACATGGGCAATACGTCTAACACATTCTTCTTTTAATCATTTGAATGGAGAGACTTCTAGAAGTGTTGCCTGTTCCCTGCCATCCTGGTTGGGCACAGTGGTGAGAGCTTGTTCTCCGTCGCATGCTGCTTCAGCTCTTGTGGGAGACTGAATG